AATAATAATAATTCTTTTCACTTCTGTGCCTCATCTAATAATATGCAGCAGGGATCTGAGTCTCCGAAGGGTTTTTTCGGGACATACAGGCAGCTGCAATTGGAGGAGAGGACCAAAAACATCCCTTCTATAACATTTCATTCCATGATTGTATTTAATTATATATTTAATTTGTGTCTTGCCCTTCCTCATGAGAGCCTGGAGTGGCTAACAATTCAACAATATTTATTTAATTGTTTATATTTGAATATTTCTAAGTGGCTAACATCTAACGGTTTTAGTAATGTACGGTACCATATAGTGGCCAAAATCCGTTTGCTTAGTGTAGTAAATTGCACTAGAATAGGCTCATTGAATCAATGTGGTTTTGATGAGTCAGCTCCTCTATAAGTTCCATTGAATCAAATGAGCCTACTCTCATTTCATTCTGAAAGTAGGCCCATTTGAGTCTATGGAACATATGGAGGAGTATACTCTCTAAATCCCCATGGATTCAGTGGGCATACTGTAGTGCAATTTACTATGCTAAGCGATAGGATTTTTGCTGATATATAAATTAAATATAAAAAATACATCATTTGTGTCTTCATCATGTTTAAAAAAAACCCTACAACAACCATTATTATTATTCCATGTGGTGGGTGTCATCACCCTAAATACACTGCTAAAAAAAGCTGTGGACCACATTTTGGGGAGTGTAGGGTATTATCAGAAAAGCCTCTCCAGGTAATCTGAAAGACCAAATGGTCTTTAAGGGAAACCAAGTCCAAATTTCTTTAGGACTACATCTCTAAGAACTGAACTCTCAACCTAGCAAAGTAGTAAATATGCAGCCAGAGCAATTCTTACAGTTGGAGCTGGTAAGTGCTTTTAGTAGGTTGCCCAGCTCACAGCCAACAGAAACATTCTGCACCAGACAGGCCATGCTCACAAAGAGTGCATTCTCAAGCTTCAGCTAATGAAAAGCATTTTGAACTGCTTAGGCCATCTTGGTCTCCAGTGATAAAGATGGACCCAGGAATAACTCCCTCTCCCAGGGACGGATGTGTTTACAGTAGCATTATGTAACAAAGAGCTTGCACTATGTAAATGCTCAGGTGTATGGTTTTTTGTTCCTGTGATAAGCATCTCTGGTGTTTCTGCAGTTAGGCCTTAGACTGCTGATTTCTTAGACCTTACTTAGACCTTCCCTTCATGTAAACATAACCCTATTGTTCCAGTCTATATCAAAGTGTCTATGTTGAAACACAGCCCTAAAATACATATTTTATATTATGCATAGGTAAATCACTAACAGGGTTCTGGCCCATGCATTTTCTGCATTTGGTAGAAGATAAATTACATCAGTGCTGAGTCACTTTGTTGGACGAGAACCTGGAGTAATAAGAACTTTGTGTCTTCAGTGTAATCATTTTGTTTAGTTTAATTTCTAACTCTACTTCATTTTAAGTACTGTACCATCTTAACTGTGGTTTCTTTTTCTTTATTTGTAGCTTTTGAAGAATATAACAAAACATGGACAGCCACAAATAGTGAGTACATTTCTGTATATTTGTGTCTGTGAATCTCTTGTCTTAATTGCAACAGTTATGATGCCGTTATTCTCCAACTGACATGTATTCAAGTTATTATTGCATTTGCTTCTAAACAGTTGGTTTAAAACCATAAACATGGCTGAGCCTGAAAATTTGTTGCAGTAACAGGAGCTATAGTTGGTAGAACACAAGTCAGTATTAAAACAACAACAAAACTCACTTAAATTCATAAAGTGTATTTATGGATATAGATATTAAATCAAATATAATTTATCTGATGTCTTGCTTGATTCAGACTACATCTTATATCTCTTTATCTCACATCACTTGAATTTCGTCTTAACAGTTATTCAAGGGAATTTTATGATCGATATGCCCAAGGCCAAGAGAAGTCTGTGGTCAATAAAATGCAGCAGAAGTACTGGAAAACAAAGCAAACTCTTATCAAAGTCACAGGAAAGAAAGAAGATGAACATGTAGTTGCCTCAGATGCCGATTTGGATGCAAAACTTGAGGTATGTATGACAGCCTGCATCTTTCCTGGCAACAGGGCAAAAAATCTTTACAAGAGGTTCTGAAAATATGTCTGGGGTTCTGCGAGCAGCCACCACACCCCCTTTCATGATGATACTGAGAGTAGTTGCTGGGACAGGCTCTTTATTTGAGCAACAGAATACTTCAACAGCTAATAGGGCCACCAACATAAAACTACAGTGGTGCCTCGTTTAGCGATCGCTCCGTTGAGCGACGAAATCGCTTAGCAACGGAGTTTTGTGATCACAAAAGCGATCGCTTTGCGATGGTCCCTATGGGGTTTTTTTCACTTTGTGATGATCGCGGGGAAGTGATCATGGCAAAGCGACCCTTTTTTAACACCTGATTGGTGGTTTCAGAATTGCCGCCAGGAAAACAAAATGGCCGCCCACTGTGTTTCCTCGCTTTTAAGCACTGTCCCTGCTCGTGTTAGAAGAACGATGGACAGATGCTTAAAAGCTGTTCATTGTTCTGAGACAGTGACCTACCCCCAGTATCGAGGTAGCCAGACCAGTCGCCCCTCCACTCTACGCTTGCTGTTGTTGAATGCCAGGTCTGTATCCAATAAGGCCCAGGTAATTCAAGACCTTATCCTGGAGGAGGATGCAGACCTGGCATGCATAACCGAAACATGGATTGGCGGAGAGGGGGGTCCCCCCCTAGCACTCATCTGTCCGCCCGGTTACGCTGTCCAACACCAGGGTAGACTGGAGGGTCGGGGGGTGAGTAGCCATTGTCTATAAATCCAGCTTGGAGGTTGCTAGGCGCTCTTCGGTGGTAAAGCCGTGTCTTGAGGCTCTCCTCGTGTCGATTGGGGCCAGGGATGGTATTGGGATCTTGCTGGGTTACCGTGCTTTCCGCGACCCAGCCATTTCCCTACTGGTGGACTTTGTCTCTGCGGCACTGTTGGATTCCCCAAGGCTATTGGTTTTGGGGGATTTCAACGTGCATGCGGGGGCAGAGCCCTCTGGGCCAGCTCTTGAGTTCTTGGAGACCATGGCCTTCTTGAACATGTCCCAACATGTCAACGGCCCCACCCACGTGGGTGGCCAACCTATTGGATCTGTTTTTTTCCACCAACAGGAGCGAGAGTGGTCCGATGGTGACTGACCTTGAGTCGGTACCTTTGTCATGGTCGGACCACCACCTAATAAAATGCACCCTCAAAATGGCTCTTCCCCCTCGCAGGGAGCAGGGACCTATTGTCATGGTCCACCCTCGAAGGCTACTGGATCCAGTTGGATTCCAGGATGCCATGAGACGTGTTACGGCTGACCTGGCTGGCGCTCCTGTCGAGGCTATGGTTGACGGCTGGTTTGCTGCCATGGCTAGGGCTGTAGACATGATCGCTCCTAAACGCCCTCTCCATTGCAGAGACCACCCGGCGCCCTGGTTTAACCAGGATCTCTGGGCATTGAAGCGGGTCAGGAGACTGCTAGAGTGCAAATGGAGAAAGGACCCAACAGATTATAATTGGATAGCTGTCAAGGTTGCTATTAACCTTTACATGGCTAAGGTAAAGGCTGCTAGTCGAGCATACTTTGCTAGCCGGATAAGCGAAGAGTCCAATCAGCAGGTGGAACTATTCCGTATAGTACGCAACCTATCCGGAATTTCCATCTGCCCTCAAGGACACACACATTAGGCCCATTAGGAAGAAACCTAGTTTGGCGGCTGATGAAATTGGCAACTATAGGCCTGTCGCCAATGTTTCTTTCTTAAGCAAGGTGGTTGAGAGGGTGGTGGCCGACCAGCTTCAGGCGCTCTTGGATGAAACAAGCCCTGGATCCATTTCAGTCGGGCTTCAGGCCGCGCCATGGTACAGAAACGGCATTGGTTGCCCTGTGTGATGACCTGTTGAGGGAGGCTGACAGGGGCAAAGTGTCTCTGCTGGTCCTCCTCGATATCTCAGCGGCCTTTGATACCATTGACCATGGTATCCTCCTTGGGAAGCTCTCTGAGTTGGGAATAGCTGTCCTGGCATTGGCCTGGCTCTATTCCTTCTTGGAGGACCGTCCCCAAAGAGTGCAGCTTGGGGAGAGTGTCTCGACCCCGTGGAGTCTCAATTGTGGGGTCCCACAGGGGTTGATTATCTCCCCAATGCTGTTCAACATCTACATGAGGCCGCTGGGTGGGGTCATCAGGGGGTGTGGGGCCTTGTGTCATCAGTATGCTGATGACCCTCAGCTCTACATCTCCTTTTCACCAACTTCAGGAGATGCTGTTCTGTCCCTTCAGCGCTGCCTGGAGCCTGTACTGCAATGGATGCAGGAGAACGGGCTAAGGCTGAACCTGGACAAGACGGAGGTACTGAGGGTGGGCGCCCCCACAGTTGGGGATTTGGGAAGCTACCTCTCTTTTGGGGGGGTGACTGCCCGCCAGGGATGGGGTCTGCAGCTTGGGGATCCATCTGGACCCGGCGCTTACTATGGAATTCCAGGTGGCGTCGGTGGTCCGTACTGCCTTTTTTTCACCTCAGGCGGATAGCCCAGCTGCGGCCCTACCTTGATGTTGGGGCACTCACTACCTTGGTGTATGCGCTCGTAATCTCAAGATTAGACTACTGTAATGCGCTCTACGTGGGGCTACCTTTGAGGCTGCTGCGGAAACTACAGGTGGTGCAGAACGTGGCGGCCAGATTACTTAGTGGAGTGAAAAAATTCCAACATATCTCACCCCCTCTGGCCGCACTGCACTGGCTGCCCATCCGATTCCGCATCGACTTCAAAGTGATGATGCTTACGTACAAAGCCCTAAACGGTTTAGGGCCTCGATACTTGGCGGAACGCCTACTCCCACCAAGATCTACCCGTGTCACTTGTGCGAGCCAGGAGGGGAGGCTGAGGAGCCTAACGCCGAGGGAGGCCCGGAAGGAAAAGACAAGAAATCGGGCCTTCTCGGCGGTGGCTCCTCGCCTCTGGAACAACTTACCTCCTGAGATTCGCGTGGCGCCCTCGCTGGTATCTTTAAGAATCAATTAAAAACATGGCTGTTTCGGCAGGCCTTCCCATCAGATAATCCCTGACGCCCTTTTTTCCTCTCTCATTGTTCCTCCCACTTTGTGTAATGTTTTACTATTTAATAATTGTTTTATATATCAATTTTATTGTAGTATTTATGTTGTTAGCCGCCTAGAGTGGTCCTGATCCGACCAGGCGGGATATAAATCAAATAAATAACAACAACAAACAACAACAACACCAACAACAACAACAACAATTTAGAGGCACCGAAAATGGCCGCCCCTATGGAGGATCTTCGCTTAAAGGTTAGTTTTTAGCCCATAGGAATGCATTAATCGCGTTTTAATGCATTTCTATGGGCTTTTTAATATCGCTTAGCGATGAAATCACTTAGCAACGTTTTTTCCGGAACGGATTAATGTTGCTAAGTGAGGCACCACTGTATTAATTCAGGGTGCCAGGGAGTTAACTTCACTCCTACAGTCTATGGGGAGCCCCGCTTCCTCTACCAGGCCCAGGACCCCTTGCAGGTGGTCCAGGCATGGGGTGCTGCAACGGGTGTTGGATGCAGGCTGTTAAGTATCTCTGGAGATGGACAGCAAAGGCTTCTTCTCCCACCACACCTCTATAGTCCCTGCTGCTGGCCCATAGGTGCACGACCAAACTTTACAGAGGCCTGGCTAGCCTCTCCCTTGAAGCAGGGCATAAGGTAGGGAGGAACAGGAGGCTGACCTTCTTGGGACCAGTACATAGACTGATCATGGAGTTTCTCTGGTGAGGCAGCTGGCTCTTGCTGCTTCCTCTACTGGCAACAGGCTCAGTGCTGGTTCTTGAGCCTCTGTACCTCTCAGCACCTGACTTGGTTCTGTTGGAACAGGATGACTTCTTCTGGTGACACGAGCAGTTTGACCCATTAGCCAATCTTGGGATCACATCTGCAGACTGTCTCCCACCTGGCTTCTGACTTTTCCAGTAGTGGTAGCACCTCTTGGCCCTTGCACACCTCCCAGTCTGCAGTGTCTGCCCAACAGTTCTCCTCTCCAGTTTCCTCCTTAACTCCAAGTTCCAGCATGGCCACACCTGTGGCCTTGAGGGCATTGCCCACCTCCCGCTCACCAGTACCTCAGTCCACAGGTGAGCTGTGGGTAGGGAATCCAGCCATTGCTCACCAAGAGGAAGGGAGCCCATTCTTGTGATGGGGTGGACCCTCGCTGGTCCCACAGGTTCAACAAGCCATAAATGTCCATGACGGTTCAATTCTGGATTTCAGTTGATGAGCAGTCAAACTGAACAGGAGTTAACTCCTAAACAGGAGAAAATAGAATGCATGGATGAGCCCTGTTTCTCCTTTATTTGGTACCTTGCTCTTAACTCAGATGTTTCAAGAATGATTAAGGGAGAAAGGCTTGATCAGGCTAAATGTGTATTTCTGTCTCATCTTTTGAGGACCAGCTGGTTGGTAGTGATATGCTGGAGGGAATCTCATCTAGTACAGGCAGTTCTTATATAGTAGGACCCCTGTATGATCAGTATCTGCAGTTTCACTTACCCACGGTCTGAAAATATTTAATTTTTTTTAAAAAAATCGTGAAAAACTATTTTGACATGTATTACCAGAACTGGGTACTAGAGGGAGTAGGAGACTGTGCCATGAATATATGTTACTGAAGAATACATATCATGGGGAAGAGAGAGACAGAATTCACTATTATCCAGTTTTCCGTATTCATGGGGGCTTGGAACCAATCCCCAGCGGATATGGGGGCCCTACTGTATTTATTAACAATGATAATGAAGCATTCTCTATAGTCTTTTTTGGTACTTTGTACTGGTACCTCTGTGCTGGGTTTGGTGCAAGTGGGTCTATTTGGAATGACCCTTTTTTAAAACCAGCTACTTTTTTGGCAACAAAATTCAGACCTTACTGTACAAATTAGGAGATGATCTTGATGACACCTTAGCAAGCTAAATTAAAAAGAATGTCTGTAAATTACTCCAATCTAACTGAATGAAGTTAGTTTATCTGGGTGAATCCATTGTGAAAACAGGGTATGGTATAAATCTTCAAAGCAATCTAACTTTGCAAGTGTAAGTATCTTTTGCCATGTCCATGCCAATTACAGTATATAAGTAATTGTTTATGAAGTTGTGAAAAGCATTTTACTGTACTGTATAAGACTAGTACAATAAGTACTTAAACTCTTTCAGTGGCTCAAAATCCATTGCGGGCTGCTTTGTGAATGAACACATCCTTTTTCTGTTGTGCCTCTATTGCCATGTAATTGGTTTTTGAAGTGTGGAAATTGTGGGTGGTTGCCAGTGATTCCTTTAAGCTACTTCCTGTGTTGTGCTCCAGTGTAAACATAAATTGTGTTTCTCTAATGAGCATGCCTAAAACATTAAACAGTAGGTATGTTTCATGTCTTGCTTAGCACACAGTGTACTGTACTCCTAAAAGAACGAAAGGTTGCTTGGGATTCTCTGTCAAGCGTGCAATTGAAAACCAAGCTAGGTGTAATGTGTGAAATAGGCCTGAGATACCTTTTAAGGAACCTTCAGTTTTTGGTACAGAGCATCCACTTCACTTTCCCCTTTTGTGTCAGTGGTGTTCATATTGAGGTACAGATAGTAACAAGAAGTTTTAGCTAAAGAGAAATTTATTCTGTCTTGGTAAACATTTCTGTGACAAAATTTTAGAGTTACGGCTCTGGTGACACAAAGCACAACTTTTGTGATTCACATTAAAACTTTACCTAACAGTCTTTAAAATCTTGTTATATTATGGGGTGATGGTGTAGCTCAAAGAACCTTCATTGATGTATGCTGTATTGAATTATAGAAAGAAATATTTTCATCAGAGGCAAAACACTTACTTTCTCTACCTCTTTCTCTTTGAGTTCTGTCTTATGCTTAGTAGCATTTGCTCCTGAAGATAACATGAGCATCAGTTCCTGTGAGACATGCAATATCATTTTTGCAAAATTTGTGGCAGCAAATGGTTGCTTTAGGAAATTTCTATATGAAAAGAAATACAGTATTATGAATTCATAGCTATAGTGCAAGGGAAGCTGATGAGGTTTCAGAGGAGGTGTGTTGTTTGAAGGGAACATCAATCTTATATCGTGCTATGTTAGAAGAAAATGTCCATTCTTATACATAGCTTGCATTTCATGTTTCTTTTCAGCTGTTCCATTCAATTCAGAGGACGTGTATGGATTTACTGAAAGCAATTGAATTATATCAAAAAAGAATTTGTTGTAAGTATTATTGTTACGGTTAAATTCACCTGGACTCCATTTTCACCCCAAAGTACAAACATAGTGAATATTTATTCATATATAAGTCCCACAGAGCCTATTTCTTACTCCTAGGTGCATGTGTATGATCACAACCTTAATTAGCCAATGTACTCTGCAGCTTAAGTTCTATTAACCTAATCAATGTTCACATTGACAACAAAACAGCATTATTAAAGCTAGCCTTTCTAATTTTACAAAAATACTTATTGAAGATGATGTCTAGGTATGTTGCTACTGAGAGCAGGGAAGGAGAAAATAGTGACCATCATATATCTTAGACTAGAAGTCCTGTAATACCAGAGCATGGGCTGTGCTGGTTTGGATTTATGGAAGTTGCAATCCAAAATATCTAATAACTAAGTAGCATGGCCCCAACATAGATATTAATAGCAAGACTGGCTGATAATATATGTTACCCAGTATATGCATAAAATATCATTACAAAAACTAATAAGCCTCCCAAGTGCACCCTGTTTGGTGTTGGAGAACTGAAATTGTAGCATTTCTGTTTTCTGCTGTTTACCCATTCAGTTTCGCATTTCTAAACTAACTGCTTTGTTGCCCATGCAGAAAAAGAATGGGAATTACATACTTTGCCCTCCAAAGGGAGAAGAATGAAAAATAGCATGGCACGGGAATCAAGCAGGCCTTTTATCCTGTCATCACTGGTCTTGAAGTGGCATTCTGTCACATATGTTTTTCAGTTAAAAATAGATTAGACCACTGTAATGCGCTCTACGTGGGGCTACCTTTGAGATTGCTGCGGAAACTACAGGTGGTGCAGAATGCGGCGGCCAGACTACTCAGTGGGCTGAGAAGATACCAACATATCTCCCCCACCCTGGCCGCATTGCATTGGCTGCCCATCCGATTCCGCATCGATTTCAAAGTGTTAACGCTTACTTATAAAGCCCTAAACGGTTTAGGACCTCGATACTTGGTGGAACGCCTTCTCCCACCAAGATCTACCCGTGTCACTCGCGCGAGCCAGGAGATAAGGCTGAGGAGCCTATCGCCGAGAGAGGCCCGAAAGGAAAAGACCAGAAACCGGGCCTTCTCAGCGGTGGCTCCTCGCCTTTGGAACAACTTGCCCCCTGAGATTCGCGCGGCTCCCTCGCTGGGCATTTTTAAGAAACAACTAAAAACATTGATGTATAGGCAGGCCTTCCCAACAGAAAACCCTTGACGATCTTTTTCTTACTCTGTTCTTTATTTTTATTTACGTTTCAGCTGTAATGTCTTAAAATTACATTGTTGTTTTTATTGTAAGCCGCCTAGAGTGGTCTAATATGATCAGATAGGCGGGATAGAAATAAAATAAATAAAATAAATAAATAAATAAATAAATAAATAAAAACTATTGAGAGACTCATGCCTGTCCTGTATAACTTTTAGTTGATTGATGTTTCAGTCATATATGAGTACCTTGGGTTGACTTATATGCTCTGCCCTTGTCTGCTCTCTGGTTCTTTAAAAAATTCCATAGTCAGTTCTATAAAGCTTATTCTTAATTTAAAAACAAATTCTGTAAATACAAACAGACAAATAAATTCCTGTTAGAGTTTACTGTATTTTTCTGTGTATAAGATGCTACTTTTTTTCTAAAATCATTACACAGAGGTAAGCTGAGATAGCTGAGGAGAGAACAAAACAGCACATACCTTGCGTCTGTAAACAGGCTTCCTTCAGTCACAAGGCTTAGCTTCCTACAGTCAGGAGACTTGGCTTCCTCCAATCACAAGCCTTATGGAACTGATGTCAGCTGATGCTGAACAAACCAATTGGAACATACCTCGTTGGAGGTGGAGCCTGTAGGCTCAGATTCAACAGGGACTCAAAATGTCAGAACATTCTGAGCCCAGAGGCTGAATCCTCAAAGCTAAGTTTTCTTAATTTATGGGTTAGAAAAGTGTTTGTGTGGGGTGTTTTATAAACAGAAAAATATGGAATTAATGGACAGAGAATAAAATTAGAGTGCAAGGTATTCAGATTGTTTAAATCAGCATCCAGTTCACAGGAATCATGTAAAATATTTTCCATCTGAGCATCAGGTTCAAGCAGTTGAAAGAGTGTCTAAAATTATCAAGAGGAATTCTAGGTATTGTCATCGGGTCATGGTAATCTATTTCATCTGATCCCACCATCTCTATTCAAGCAACATCAATAAAAAAGCACTCTTGTTGCCTTCTCAGTATAGAGGTCATTGTACAGTTCTTATTACACTCAGCCCATAAAGTGATGTGCTGAAATCAATCTGATCTCCTTCTTTCATAAATACAGGAGCACAAAGGTTAATTAGAAATTGCAGGAGTGAGCATGTGTGCTTGTGTCTGTAAGGTTATTCTTTGTCTCTTGTCTTATTATCTAGTTAACAAAAATGCTGTGTTTTAAAGGAATGACTATATGTTTGCTTACTTTCCTTTTCAATCTTAGTTCTATCTCAGGAAGAAAATGAATTAGGAAAATTTCTCCGATCCCAAGGTTCTCAGGATAAAACCAGAGCAGGGAAGATGATGCAAGCGACAGGAAAGGCCCTCTGCTTTTCTTCACAACAAAGGTATGTTGGACCAGAAGGGATTTATCACTGAGATCATGGCTGAAATCCAGTTGCTAGACCGAACAAGCGTTGGCCGATTGACATCAGTTGCTGAATCATAACTCAACGCTTAGATAAATACATTGATCCTGCTTACTTGCCTGCTCTGAGATTACCAACTGGATTTAGGTCCATGTTTGGGATAGTTTGTAAATCCTACCACATAGAAGCAAGATCCCATGCATCTGCCAGCTTTCTTTTTTCTCTTTCCCCCATCAAGCTGTTCCTGTTTTGTTTTTGTTTTGTTTGTTTAAGGCAGGAAAAGGCTTTGGAGCTTGGCTGGGAAAGCTCCCTGGCTGTCCTTTCAAGCTGTTTTCTGAGCTTTTTTCTTCTTTGCTTTTCCGTTATTTATGTTTCATTTATAGCCTATCTTTCCTACAAGAAGTGAACAGTAGCGTGTATAATTTCTAATCCCTTCCTGTTGTGTCCTCCCTATAAATCAGCGAAAATGGCTAGTCCAATTGCCCAGTGAGAATTTCATGGCTAGGTAGGAATTAAACTTCAATTTGCCTGGTTCTAACCTAATAAACTAACTCTTGCTTTTAAAATGTTTGTCAATCTCTTCCCCCCCCCCACTCTGTTTGCTACCCGAAACTGATCATCAGCACAACTGCTAAATCAATTCACATTGGAGCCCCCTGAGTCAGCATACCGTTCAAACTTTATTCCTACCTACCTCTATTCTGAATTCTGTCCAGTCTTTTTCCTTCTTCCCTAATAATTTCCTCTCTCTGTGTACTAGGATAATAGGCAGAAAATAAAAAGTCTTCTTCATTCCTAATTGGAAAGCCAGAGCAAACGAAACCCTTTTGTGGAGAAGAGCTTATTCCTAATTTCCACCACTACCTTCTGACAAAGAAGACGTGGTATATGAGTTCTGGGGCCTTAAAGTCAGGAGTCTTTGATAACTGCAGCCAAACAACATTTTCTTCTCATTAGTGGTTTCGACTGCATCTGATTTTGGGTGCTGTCATCTCTGGAGAGGGGGGACGACAGTCTAGATCAGGGGTGTCCAACCTTTCACCTTCCCTGGGCCACATTAGAAGATGAAAATTTGGTTTGGGCCGCATGGGGGGGCAGCCCTAGCCGTCCTCCACAGCCCCACTCCAAGCGTACTTACCGGCAGCTGCGATCTCAGACAGCAGAGGCTGCCAGCTTCGACTCCGGTAGCTTTATGGGGCCGGGAGGGGGTCCACCTATTGATGGGGATGGCACAATGCAGTCACACAGCCCCCTCTCCCCTCCACTCCTGCTCCTTCCTTCCTTCCCTTCCCCCCCCCCCACAGCTGTGACGTGCCCCAGCCGCATTCCGGCCACAAGCGCCGGCAGTGTAACTTGAAACTTTGGAATTTCTTTTAAAATAAAAAATTGCACTGGGCCGCATTATGAGCCTACCTGGGCCGCATGCGGCCCTCGGGCCGCAGGTTGGACAAGCCTGGTCTAGATACTACCATCTAGGGTCTGAATCACAGTGTCATTAATCAGCAGGAGGAAACAGCCTTCCCTTGTTTAGGAAGCAGGATATTGCTCCAGATACAGGAAATTGTGGTAATTTCTGTTAGAAGAGTGCAGCACTTTAGTGATTTGATGGTGATGAAGGTGCTCATGATAATGTGAAAGAACACCCCCCTCATATTTATTATGCTAAGAAACATATTCTGTATAAAACAAGATAAGACATAGAATTGAATACAGAAATCTGTAGCTCTGTCTTCTCTATTGTATATATGTTGATCAGTTGCAGATGAAGGGGGAAAAAGGAACAGGCAACTGCCTTGAGGAAAGTGGAAGTCTAGGAGGAAGCAATCTCAACATAACAGTCTACAATCTGGAAGTTGAGTCATGGCAACTGGACTTCTTATTAGGTTGAAACATTTCGGTTGCCATGACTCAACTTCCAGATAACTTCACCTAAATGTCTTGAGAATCTTCACAGAAACAATCTATAAGTTCTCTTTCCAGAAAACTAGGAGAACCCAAGATGCCATGTGGCTATCTACTGGTGTGTTGTCCATCTTTACTTCAATTTATTAATATCAGTAATTTGAATACTTCCCAATTTAGTGACATGTGCTACTCTGGGTGGTTAACATCCCAATCAAACCCCCAAACCCAAGAAAACTTCTCTTTCTTCTTTTGCACTTATAGACAGGGAACAACTTTCCTTCCGTACTTTAAATGCAGTGTTTTGCACTTATAGCAAAGGGGTTGATTTTTCCTTCTTCAGAAAGCTAACAATTAAGCACCATCATATATCTTGGACTGTATTGGCCCAAAGCTTTGATCTAAGCCACTTCACTTTTATTATTGCTTTGTCATCTCCAGAGTGCCCCCAAAGTAAAGGCCAACCCAGAGTATCTTGAGAGATGTAGAAATCTTTGGATCAATTCATCAGGAAAGCAGTGTAAAGAGGTCTGTGAGAGATGCAGACCTGCTTAGAGGATGTCACATTGCCCCAAGGCTATGGCCTCAGATACTATACAAAAAAGCCAGTCCAATACCAGTCTTATCTTGTATAATGAAGTACAAATGATCTGTGAATCAAGATCAGTGCTGACAATCAATGATAGAAGAGATCTTAGCATCTACTAATATCTAGGGAAATGATCCATCTGTTGTATTATGAATAACGGGAAAATTCATGAGTTTGCTGGCTAGGTCACCTATATGTTCACTAACTGGAATTCTGTGTAGATGTAGTCCTCTGATTTCTCATCAACCCCGCTTTTCTCTGCTTTTGAATGATGAATGCATTTATCTTGAGTGTGAGCTGCTACAACATCTGGCATATAATGGCAAAAGAAAGGAAGGGGGAAATCTTAGTAACACATACTGTCTTCTGGGAGCTGCCAAGGTGTATAATTGGAGAGGGAGGTTTATTGTGACCTTTGGATGTAATAGGAACCGTATAGCAGCAACTACAAGGGCAGACTTTCAACTTGTTTGCAAACAGAGTGGTTTTCCTTTGAAGATGAAGCCTGTTAGCCACATGGCTTATAACTTTTAAGTCTTTCTGTTAAACACTGAATGTTTTTTCTCCCATCATCAACATATTGTGCAAATTAACTGGGACTGTTTTTTGGTCACTTAAATTTTCTGTGCTTCTAGCACTTCTAGAGAGATGGGGATATGCTTTCACTGTTAATTATTTTTATTTTTAATTTATTTATTTATACCTCGCCTATCTGGTCACAATTAATTGGTTAAGCTGATCTAGAAATAGATCTATCATGATCTAGAAATAGATACTGCACACAAAGAAAATTCAGAATATCCCATTAAAATACTATTTTATGAATTTTAAAGGAAAATCCAGCCTGAAAAAACAAAAAAACTCACTTTCATTTTGTTTGGGTTTTGTTGTTTTTTTGCACATTTTGCAGTCCATACAGTCACCAGAGGATGGTAGGGCAGAGAACTGAACCCTCAAGTGATGGAAATTGCCTACTCACAATTCATGGTGAGTTGGCTGGATCCATTGGCTTTACAGTCAAAGTCAGGAATTCAAATTCCCTACTGCACCTTATAGGAGAAATGTTAGACTGTGTGATCTAGGGCAAGCTGCACAGCCCTAAAGCACCCCTAGAAAAAAAGGGAATACTGTACTAAAATACTTCTGAGTACTCTACACCTAGAAAATTCCTGAAGGAGTTTCCCTAAATCAGAATCTACTTCATGGCACATAATTATTATTACTGATTTATAGTATTTGTTGCAGGTTGGCATTGCGTACACCTTTATGCAGACTGTATCAAGAAGTGGAGACATTTAGATACCGTGCTATTTCAGATACTTGGTTGACTGTCAATCGAATGGAACAATGCAGGACAGAATATCGGGGAGCTCTGTTGTGGATGAAAGATGTGTCCCAAGAGTTGGATCCTGATCTTTATAAGCAGATGGAGAAATTCAGGAAGGTATGACATTTCAACAATGCACTCGAGCGCAATGCTTGGTGGTGGTAATGGAGTGTACTTTGGGTTCCTTTGGAGAAATGAAATCCAACAACCAGCAGTAAGGCTGAAATTAATCAGGAACTAATCTTTACGACACAGCAGGATACAGTTCATTTGACTGGGAGTGCATTTTCCACACTTGAAAGATAGGATTGTCAGAAGTAGTTTTCTAAGTAATCGTCATCACCATTGTCGTTGTCATCTTAGAACAGCATAGCTGGAAGGGACCCTGTGGATCTATGAGTAACTCATTTAAAGAAATAGAAAAGGGAAAATATGTACAACCCACCTGTAAAAATGAAGTTCTGCATTGAGTAGCCTTTCCATGAAAATGTGCTTCAGTTAGGTCATTATCTGTTCCAACAATTGGACATGACTATCAATTTGACTTTGATTAGGCTTTTTAAAAGTTAACCTGATCCCTAAATTTGATATTCCCTTTTCTGACATGATGGCTGCTGCCTTGTTTTCCTGCTTTAATCCAATATAGAAGCCAGTGTCTGCTATCCAAGGACACAGACAGAAGTTCCAGACAGGGTTTTTTTATGTATAGTGGGAGGAGAGATGGTAAAATAATACCATGATATCTTTGTCTCACTTTAAATCTTGCCTTGCTAATAGCTTGCCAGAAAAAAAATGGGCTTCATGTCTGTCCATACCTTCTTTGCCTGATGAAGATTTCTGAAGAGAAACCTTGTTTTTTCATTATTACTATTAGAAACCCAATAATTATACTATTCAAATTATTTTATTTGTATCCCGGCCTTCTTCTCGTGAAGGACCCATGGTGACCCACAACATGAATTAATATTCAAAAACAATCATTATAATAAATAATAATAAGTTATGATATCGAAACGCAAATGTGTTACCATGTTCAAAACTAGCACTAAACTGAAACCATTTGAAAGGCATTTAATAGGATGACAAAATATGACCACCTTAAAAAAATTTCCTTAGTAACCTGTCAGTGGCAAAAAACCTGCTGAAATATCTTTCCTTTGGCAGAATAACTGCAAGGAGAGGGCCAAGCTAATATCGGGAAAATTTTCCTGTTAGAGCAGTGTGACTGGAGCCAATAACCTTGGTAGGTGGTGAGCACTTCAACACTGGAGACATCTGTCTAAAGAAAATTAGAGAGACATCTGTCAGATTACTGCATTGAGCAGAGGGTTGCACTCCATAGCCTTATAGGCCCTTCCAAAGTCCTTTTTTAAAAATTCTATTGATTTTCATCAGAAGGGATTTTCATATTTGGGGTGTAGTCACCAGAACTGCTTGTGAGAATAGTAGCGTAGAGAGAACAGCTTTTCCCAAAACGTTTACAGTTCAGTGTGTGTTTCTATGCACATCTGCACATCTGCACCCACAATTATATTTCTTTCTTTGTTTTTTATACTGCCGATCTGGCCAAAGGCCACTCTGGGTGTTTTATAGCAAATGCAAACAACATAATTAAAAAACAATTTAACAAAACAGAAAATAAAAATAATAAAATGCAAATAAACAGTACATACAGTCAAAAGCATAAAAATACATTTGCATAAAAACAATTATAGCTTATAATTACTCTGTGCATGTGTAAAAGGTTAGATGGTGTTGTAACAAGTATTGTGTTAAGGTCTCAGGAACAACCTTAGACACCGGAGGAACAGTGGGATAGAAATATTTTAAACAGGTGCTTGCAGACAGAGTCTATCCAGAATCACAATGTGGATTTCGAGCTAATAGATCCACCATTGACATGGTATTTTCCCTCAGACAGTTGCAGGAGAAATGTAGGAAACGACAGCCACTTTTTGTGGCCTTCATAGATCTTACAAAGGCCTTTGATATGGTTAGCAGGGATGGCCTTTTTAAAATACTTCCCAAGATTGGATGTCCACCTTGACTCCTTAACATCATCAGGTCCTTTCATGAGGAAATGAAGGGCACTGTAGTTTTTTATGGCTCAACATCAGATCCCTTTGACATCCGAAGCAGAGTGAAACAGGACCGTGTCCTTGTGCCAACCCTGTTTGTGATTTTTTTTGCTGTCATGCTGAAGCATGCCTTTGGAACTGCAACAGAAGGTGTCTTATCTCCAGATTAGATCAGATGGAAAGTTATTTAATCTCTCTAGATTGAGAGCGAAGACCAAACTCCAACTGAAATGCATGCAGGACTTCTTCTTCACCGATGATGTGGCTGTTGTTCTGTGGCCCATTCTGCTGAAGACCTCCAACAACTCATGAATCGTTTTAGCAAGGCTGCCAAGGCTTTGGATTAACAATGAGGCTGAAGAAAACACAAGTCATGGGCCAGGGCGTGGACTCACCTCCCTCTATTACCATCTCCACACAAGAATTGGAGGTTGTTCATGACTTTGTGTACCTTGGCTCAACAATCTCTGACACTCTCTCCCTAGATGTCGAGTTGGATAAACACATCGGGAAAGAAGCTACCATGTTCTCTAGAATCACAAAGAGAGTATGGCTTAATAAGAAGCTGACAGCATATACCAAGATCCCGGTCTATAGAGCCTGTGTTCTGACTACATACTCCTGTACTGCAGTGAGTCCTGGACCCTTTGTGCACGGCAGGAGAGGAAGCTGAACATGTTCCATATGCGTTGTCTCCAACAATGCATATGGAATGGATATGCAATGCATATGCGGTATCTCCTGTCAGGACAAAGTTCTAAATAGAGTAGTCCTAGAATGAGCTGGAATTTTTAGCATGTATACATTACTGAAACAGCGACGTCTACATTGGCTTGGGCATGTTGTGAGAATGGCTGATGGTCGGATTCCAGAAGATCTCCTGTATGGACGATTAGTGCAGGGAAAGTGCCCCAGAGGGAGACCACGGCTGCGATACAAGAATATCTGCAAGTGGGATCTAAAGGCCTTAAGAATGGACCTCAACAGATGGGAAACCTTGACATTTGAGCCTTCAGCCTGGAGGCAGGCAGTGCATCATGGCCTCTCCCAATTTGAAGAGGCAGTTGTTGAGCAGGCCGAGGCAAAGAGGCAGTCCCAAAACCAGCAAAATCAGGGAGCTGGACAGGGTACAGATTTCATTTGTCTTCAGTGTGGAAGGAATTGTCAGCCACATTCAGAGCACGTTACCATACCTCTATTCAGAGCACGTTACCATAGTCTCTTGAGATTGGAGGATTCCCAATCTATCTAAAAAATAAAGAAACAAAATGCAAACAGTCCATGTTGTCCTAAGAAAGCTATTGGTGGTTAACTACTTCCTTTGATTGATTTATCTTCTGACCCCACCCTCTTAAACTACCTGTGCTTAAAAGTATCAAGTTACAACCCAGTGAAACAATATGAATAAAGGTACCGTATTTTTTGCACCATAAGACGCACTTTTCCCCCCAAAAAAAGAGGGGTAGAAAGTCTGTGCGTCTTATGGAGCGAAGGTGGTGACTTCACCCCCACTAGCCCCGTGGGAGCAGCGTCGCAAGGGTCCATGGGAGCCTTCCAGGACCCTTGCGACACTCCCCCACCCCCGACGGGGCCAGTGGGGGCGAAATAGCGACCTTCCAAGACCTTTTGAGAGGCTTGAAAGCCTCTCAAAAGGTCCTGGAAGCTGCCGATTCCCCCCTGCACCCATGGGGGGGTGGGGGCAGCATGGCAAGGCTCCTGGAAGGCTCCCTCGGACCCTTGCCATGCTGTCCCCACCCCCCCCCACGGGCGCAGGGGGGGGAATTGCCAGCTTCTGGGCAAAAAACGACCTTCCAGCNGTGCGGCTTCCGGGCCCCTTCCGACGCTCCCCACGGGGCTGGTGCGGGCGAAATTGGGAGCTTCCAGGACCTGGAAAGGCTCAGAAAAGGTCCTGGAAGCTGCCTATTTCGCCCGTGCCAGCCCCGTGGGGGGGTGGGGGGAGCGTCGGAAGGGTCTGAGTGAGCCTTCCAGGACCCTTCCCACGCTCCCCCACCCCCCACGGGGGCAGTGGGGACGAAATCGCCACCTTCTGGGGCTCTTTTGAGGCTTGGGAAGCTTCAGAAGAGCCCCAAAAGGTGGCGATTTTGCCCCCTCTGGCCCCCGGGGGAAGCAGGGTGAGTCTCCAAAGGGTCCTAGAACACACCCTAGAACCCTTTGGAGACTGACCCTGCCTCCCCTGGGGGCCAGAGTGGATGAAATCACCACCTTCTGGGGCTCTTTTGAGGCTTGGGAAGCTTCAGAAGAGCCCCCAAAGGTGGCAATTTTGCCCCCTCTGGCCCCCGCGGGAGGCAGGGTGAGTCTCCAAAGGGTCCTGGAACACACCCTAAGACCCTTTGGAGACTGACCCTGCCTCCCCTGGGGGCCAGAGGGGGCAAAATCGCCACCATTGGGGGCTCTTCTGAGGCTTGGGAAGCTTCAGAAGAGTCCCAGAAGGTGGCGATTTCACCCCCTCTGGCCCCCGGGGGGGGCAGGGGGAGTCTCCAAAGCGTCCTGGAACACACCCTAGGACCCTAGAACCCTAGGGTGTGTTCCATAAGATGGACCTCTCCATAAGGCTCACCAAATTTTAGGAGAAAAAGCAGATTATTTTTTTTTCCTGTTTTCTTCTCCTAAAAATTTGGTGCGTCTTATGGAAAGGTGCGTCTTATGGAGCGAAAAATACGGTATATGGAGATGGACAAATGGCATGTGTTGGAGTGAGCATAGATACCAAATCTGTATATCTAGGCCATATGGTCTGCCATCATGTCTGATACTAGGAAGGTTATGTTTCATCCAAAGGTTTTTGCCTGTGTTAGAATTCATGAAACCCATACTCTTTTGATGCAAGGCAACAGAGGATACATTTAGGTATTAAGGAATGTCCTGGCCAGTGATACTTAAGATCCCTGTGTGTTGTGATATCTCTGTACCATCGCTGCTTAAAACAATGTAAATGCTCATGCTCTATTAGCAATGCCTTAAATTTAACACTGAATTCTAAAAATATAAAATCTGAAATATACTGTAGATATTTTAGCC